CTTCTCTTCCCTGAGTCATGCTAGGGAGACTGTTAACACAACGCAAGTGCTGTTTCCTTAGTTGGTTAGCTATGGAATTAAATTCTTAAAACTGTTCCGGAGTCGAACCTGAGTCTGTCATACTTCGCTACTGGAAAGCTTACCTCATTGCACAGCACTCATGAAACTACCGCTTTCCCTGAGAGGCCACATTCTGCATCTTCAGCACATGTCTCCTTAGCCCCATCCTCCTGCTATTTTAAGTGTTGGGTTAGAAGTGTTAGACCACAGTGACTATCCTGAATTACCCATTTATATATGGAGTTTATGACAAATAGCATTAAAAAGATCCCACTATGAGGAGCTAACCAAGTGCTCCTCCCAAGGCTTGAGGCTGCTGTTGGTGATGCACCTGCTGAGTGGCTGTTGTTTGGATGTAGATGTCCTGTGGGTAGATTTCAGTATATATGTCCTCCCCGCTACTTGACACTGGGCAGTGCATCTTTAACTTGCTTCTATTTTATAAGGCTGTCTGCATTTCAGTCTAAGAGAGTATACAGTTATTTGTGATTTAAACTCCAGAAATTTAGAGTAAAAATGTTGATTGAGATTATTTGAGGGGGCAGTTTTAAATTCCCAGTTTCAGTTGGTAGTCTGGGCCTGTGACTCAGTGGTAATGTATGCGCTTAGAATGTATTAAGTCCCAGCATGGCAAAACAAAATGGTTCAGGGAGATTCCAAAAGGAGTGTTCTAATTTTAAACACTTTATGTGATCTTGGGCCTTGGCAAATAGCCCTGTCTCTGCCTTCCTCCCTCTCTGTTGGTGCAGCTCCTCAGGAGTACCTCCCTAGTCTCAGGATCCACACATACATTACATCACCAAGCAGCAGCTGCTCTAGGCATGGAACAGATGATTCCGGCTTCTCTCCACCTTCTCCTATTCTCCATTCATTCATTCGTCAAATGCTGCCTTCATTTGGAAGAGATCCCACTGAGGGCAAAGATAGATAGGCTTCCCAAGGGGTCTTATTTTAGCTCAGAAAATGCTCATCCTCCACTCTGGTTTACTTAGAGCCAGGTTCTCTCTGGTTATAGACAAGAGTTTGGTGAGTAAGTAATCAGGACAGAATGTATAAAGCCGTCAGAGGCCTAAAGAGATGGTTCAGCCATAAAAGGGCGAGGCTCACAACCAAAAATACAAAAAGCACCAGAGCTACACCAGTTTATAGCCTACCATAACTTGGCTTTTATTCAGTGGCTCTTTCCTACTTCATAGCATAAAATCAGAAAGCTCTAAGCTGGAATCACCGGCCTGGGAGTGAAGATAGTCGGCCTTTTTAATTATTAATACAAATAGAGCAGGATGGTAAGCTTTTACACACACACACACACACACACACACACACACACACACACACACACACACACACACACACACCATGTGACTGGGTGACTGGCTGACTTGACAATTGGAGAAAACACAAAAATCATGACCCCTAAAGGCCAATCGAGGACTGCAACCAACTCAAAAGGACAGAGAACCTCCATCTCATCCCACCATAAGTCTCAACCTGAGTGATAAACAGTAATCTCTTGAAAGTAGGTGAGACATAAGCACCTAAAGAGGCTGTTTCTGTGGTTCAGACAAGCAGAGGATGCTAAAGCTGAGGCTGAGGAAAAGTTGGAAGAAACTGTCTGGTACCCAGACTACACAGAAGAGGGAGCAGCACCCCATCACCAGAGGAATTTAAAGAGCCAAGCACAACCCTATTACTAATTTGACCCACACCATGGGAGCGTGCCCATTTCTGGACTTACGTAGTGTGACTCTGTTGCCCTCCTTCACACAGTTTTCTGCATTTTAGTCAAAAATCATGAGACTAAACAGAGCAAAAGAAAAACAACATTCGTCAAACGATAAGTTAATAATTGATAGAAAAACTAAGACATGGATGGTCTGAACAAAATTTTCAAGTTTTATTTAATTGACATCTGCAGAACATTCACCTAATAAGCAATATATACTGCTTAAAGTACACATGGATCATTCACCATGTTCCATTGTCTAGACCATGACCAGGGCCAGTTAGAAACACACACACACACACACACACACACACACACACAATAGTGCATACACATGTGCAAAAAAAAAAAGTCAACCTCCCAGTTTTAAGAATGAGACAATGGCCTGTGCCTTACGTTGTATTGTAAAGCAAACAAGGAAACATAAATAACTTTCAACTAATAAATAGCTTAGATGAAATTGAAAGATTCCTTGAAAGATTATCAAAATTCTCTTTATAAAAAAGAGAAGGAAGGAAGGAAGGAAGAAAAGAAAGAAAAGAAACTTCTGTGGTCCTATATCCTTTAAAAAGATTGATTTGGTAGCTTAAAACACCCTCAATAAAATCCAAGCCTCCATTACTTCTGGTATTGACTTCTACAAATGTTTATGCACACAAACTGTTTCAGAAAATAGAAAACACTTCACAATATTATTAGCAAGTAGAAATAGCCAAATATACATGAAACAATAAATCATGATCAAATATGTATTACCTGGGCATGCAAGATTGGTTTGACAGTTTGAAATTGTATTATACCATAGTGATCAACACAAAGCCTGTGAACATCTGATATGGGGCTGTTAACAAAATTCATCCTCCTATTGTGGCTAAAATAACCAAACAGAAAGAACCTGGTTGTGTACCTCTTTCTCTGTGAGTTCAAGACCAGCCTGTCTACATAATGAGTTCCAAGTCAACCATAGATGTGTGACAAAAAAGCAAATAAAAAAAAAAAAAAAAAGGGAAAGTAGTGGGGATCTTCTTCAACCTAGGGAATTAGTAGCTACAGCCATCCAAAGTGTCCAGAGGCTTTCCTCCATTCCCATCCCCTCTGCCTCAGCAGTGTCTGCCACAATGCTTACTTTTTTTTTTTTTTTTTTTTTTTTTTGCTAGAGTTGGCTGTTTACATGTTTATAAGAAGTTCTCAGAGCAGAAATCTCAACTGTATTCTTGACAAGATTGCTGCAATTGCTGCAATATTGGCTTACTACAACAGCCTGGGGATCAGCCTTTTCTGGGGGAGGCTTTTTGTCTTTGTACAACCCCTGTAAAATGTGTGAGCACTGCAGATCACAGCTGTAGAAATGTCTCTGCTCCCTAGCTTAAGAGCTAGAATGTCACAGAACCCTCCAGTGAGCCCTTATGTGTGCCAGTCATGTCCTTCCTCTAGTGCCCCCACTAACTGTGGTAATTACCACTACTGCAGTTTTGTTTAGTTTTGTTGAAACAGGGTCTCACTGTATAGTTCCACCTGGCCTAGAACACACTATGTAGGCCAGGTTGGCCTTGAGTTTATCATAACCCTCCTGCCCCTGCCTCTCAGATGCTGGCTTATAGGTGTCTGCCTAGTTTTATTACAAATTTTATATGGATGTTTTCTTTTGTAGTTTCACTACGTATTTGTATGTTTAAGCAATAATGTTTAATTTTGTCCATTTTTAAGTATTTCTTTAAATAGACTCCTGCTAAATTGTATTCTGATTTGCCTTTTTTTAAAATTGTTATTCAACATTCTGTGTTTGAGATAAATCAATGTTGTGTGAAATTGTAGTTACTTAGTTTTTATTGTGTGGGATTTCACTTACAAAGTGTTCTGTTCTACATGTTACTACATGTTACTACTCATGAACATATGAGTCATCTGCATTTGATGCCCCTTTAGAAATAGTGCTGAGAGATACCTGCTGGAGAACACATACAAAAATCTCTATGCAATCACTAGAAACATCTTGGGGGGTTGCAGTAAGGATAGCCTGAATAACAAGTTATTGCCCAAAGTGGCTGCCCCATGGAGCTTGCTCAGGAAATTTAAGGGTGCCTTCCTTCCATCAGGGTTCCTCTGCTTAGCATTTACCGTTGTCAGTCAATTCTGTATTCATCTTTGTTTATGTGAGTAGTGACGTGTAGTGAGACCCTCTCACCTTTCCTGTGTTTGCTGCTGTTTATGTCTCATTTTATGTGAAATGCCTGCTTTGCCTTCAACTCAGTCATCTCAGCCCCATCTAACTGGTAGGTCTCTGTTTCCTCCTTGATTGTAATACTGACTTTGGCATAAATCTGATTGCCATCTATATGCAAAAGATAGATGGCTCTCTGCTCTAACCCTTTGGTCTATTTGTCTTTCCTGGGGGAAGTAACAATGCCATTGTCATCACAAGTCTTGACATCTGTTGGTCTCCCCTCCTGTGCCTTAGACCTAGTGACATGAGTAATGCCCTTTCTCTCATTTTAAGATTTTGGGGGCTGGGGAGATGGCGCTGTAGGTAAAATGTTAGCTGCATAAGCTCAAGGAGATGAGTCCAGAGCCCCATCACACACACATAGCATAGCCAGGCTATGCTTCTGTAACCCCAGTTCTGAGGGATGGAAACAGCAAGATCCCAAGAGCTTGCTGGCCAGCCAGCTCCAGATCAGTAAGAGACCCTATGAAGAGCAATGGAAGACACTTGACGCTGACCTCTGATCTCCACGCACTCACACACAGGTGAGCACACCTACACATACATGTGAACATAAAAACCCACACACAAGATTTCACATAGTGATTGATGATCTAATTACTAGACCAGGGTTTTTTTCTATGCAAATTTAATTATATCCCTGTTCAAAGACAAAACAGAGTGTTTTCTTTGATGTTGTACTTTTAGCCTTTTGACATGGGTTACCCACTTATTATTTGAAAATGTAGATCAACATAAAACACTTAACCACTGCATTTTTTATTCTTTACTTTCATTTTGCCCCTGCAAATAGGGCCAAAGCCTCACAACTGTACAAATATACTTGTGTGTTTCTACATAAGGAAAAATATCTGATTTTCTTAAGACTTGTTCTCGCTGCCACCATAAGGGGTGTACGCTGTCCTGCCAGACCTGGAGTTCCTGCTGCACCAGAGTGGTTTCCCTATCTTGCTGTTACCTCATTGTCATGTTTGTCAATTTCTCTTGCAGCTGCTGCCTGTGAGTTTTTGGACATTGTGGAGCTGCTGCTCCAGTCTGGCGCTGACCCTACTCTCCGAGACCAAGACGGCTCTCTGCCAGAAGAGGTGACGGGCTGCAAAGCAGTTTCTCTGGTGCTGCAGCGGCACAGAGCTAGCTAGCAAGGCTTGATCCAGAGACTGGAAAAGCACAGTCTGATAGGACAGAATAGGACTTCAGGATGAAAGAAACTACAGAAATCCCTTACCACTGTCTTTGGTATGCATTGGCTAATAAAATCAGTTCTGAGGAACTGACTGGTATTTTGACGTCTCAGCAATTCATTCTCCATGCATACATTCTGGGGAGTACGGTTTTGGTGATGAACATGTGTACTGTGCATAATATAATCCAATTCTGCCGAGCGTGCTCTGAAATTTATCACTGCTCTAGAGGGTGGGGAGAGGAGCAGACAGATCATATTTCACAATATTAAACATGGCTGTACCCTCCCTCTCCCTCTCTCTCTCTCTCTCTCTCTCTCTCTCTCTCTCTCTCTCTCTCTCTCGCTCGCTCTCATTCTCTCTCTCTCTTGATCACTGTCTCTCTCTTTCTCAATACAGAAGCAAAATGTGACGATTGGCCCTACCCTGACAATTAGAGAAGTCCTATGAAATCCCAGCACAGTGAAGAGTGAATGGCCCAATAGCATCGTCACAGCTAATCTGAAGAGGCTTAAAACGGCTGGCTAGTTTGTAAAGGTGGACTTGAAAACAAATAAAGGACAGGATTTTGTCACCTGGGCGATGGACATGAGATCACCAGTAGTTAATGAAAATGAAGACTTGCAGTTTTTCAGGGTGGTACTCAGCAGCCTCCCTGAGGACTGGGACACAGGTTCTGGAGAATAGATCAGGGTTCTTTAATCATAACGCAGGAATGGAATTTCCCTAAGGACTCTAAACTAGCTATAAGGGCCTTTGCAGCAGTAATCTAAAAATCCAGCTCAGGCCTGGCCTGCTTGCTTGCCTAGATCTGTTATTGTTGGGGTTGTTTCTGGGTACTAGAAGAGCATTTATTTAGTTTTAGAAGCATAATAAGTAGGCAAGTGTGCCACTTTTTTTGTTTTTAAGATAAAACAACCCCCTATGTTTTTCTTTTAAACCTTAAGAACTCACCTAGGGAATTTCTTGGTGTTCTTATTATATAAGAAAGATAAGTAAAAATGAAAGAAGAAATTAGTTGTGCCGACATAACCATTCAAAGATAATTTCTAACAGGTGTGACTGTTAAAATAGCATGTTTCTTGCTTAGTGGAACCCATAACAGCGCATACTGTTTTTGTTAGCTTGAGCTAGCCTATCCTGGATCAAACCCCTCCACACCATATGGCATATAAATACTGCTTGTTCTATTATTTTTATAACTATACTTTCTGAGATACAAAACCAAATCATTCACTAAGACTAATCATTTTTAAAAATAATTTTTTAGTTACCTGTGGAAATGATATACCCATTGTTGCATACTGGAAAGTTAGTGTAGTTCTCTGTTCTTTGTTCATTTATTGCAACCCTAGCTGTGTTGCAGTCTACCTTTAACATAAGTCATTTCTGGTCTACATTCATCAAATCTATCTTTAAAAAAAAAAAAAAAAAAAAAAGCTGGCTATGGTGGCAGAGTCAAGAGAATCTCTGTGAATTAGAGATCAGCCTGTTCTACAGCATGAGTTCCAGGACAGCCAGAGCTACACAGAGAAACCCTGACTCAAAAAAATAAAAATTATACATTAGTTACAGTAAAAGTGAGACACTATGTGTGGTTTTTAATTGGCATATTTTGTTCATCCTTATGGCTTTAGCAAATCAAGTTATTCATTTAAACATTTTCAAGTAGTTCTCTAAGCAAGAAACTCTCCAGGAACTTCTTTTTCTTTCTGTCTGTCTGTTTATCTGTCCATCTATCTATCTTCCTTTTGAAAATAGAAGTCAGTATTTCTCAGACATGGTTTTTAAATGCTTGTTCTGCCACTGTTAAAACTATATAGACTCTTTGAGCAAAAGATATGGCTTGTCTTACTTTATTTTAAAGATTTTAAATCCAAGACTATGAGAAAAAACAGTTACCAGTGAGGCTGAGTGCTGTGGTACCCATCATCCCAGCACTGGGGAGGCTGAGAAGGAGGGATTATAAGTTCAAGGCAAGCCTGAGTTACATGCAAGACTTTGTCTCGATAAATAAAAAGTATGTTGGGGGATATCATATCAGTTTAATATTTTCAAGTCTGGTGAATTTTAATATTAATTTCCAAAATTTCTTTTGTTCCCAATATCTGAATTTCCAAAAGCCTTACTATCACATAGCAATCTATAGACCATTTTCCTGGGTCCTCTATAGAAGATTTCATCCATAAATGTCAGTGAACATGGGCCATGGTTTATTTTCATTCCCTTTAAATTATTGAATTATTATGCTAGCATGTCACATACTGGTCAGATCCTGAGTTCATTACCAAAGACTGCAGTTCATTAACAAAGGACAGTGCCCTGAAGCAGACAGCCAGCCGGCTTCCCTGCTACATGGTGACTGTGTTTTCGTGTACTTCAGCAGGCTCATTCAGTGGACACCTTAGCTTCAGTCTAGTCATGTGTAAGGCAACTGCTTCTGAGAACACGCCATAGGACGCGTTCACCCAGGAGAGACATTTCTGCTCATACTTCAGCAAGCACTTAAAATGTCCGGTTCTTTTGTTTTTAATGTTTACTAGTTGGATTTATTTTATCTCATCCTTGCTTTCAGCTCCCAATTTGATATTTCTAATCCATGTGAGAATGTTAAAAATGGTTACTAAAAATTGGCTGGCAAGAGGACTCAAAGTGGTTGTAATGTGTCACACTTGTTACATAGTACATAGTACCATCCGATCATCCGATTCTGACTGTGTTCTCAATAATACAGTGCTTCTATTGTCATCCTGAATATATACCACCTCCATAGTGTACCTATGTGGGAATGCATGTTAGCCTTATTTCCTTATGCTTGCTTTTTTTTTTTTTGGCTCTATGATCAGAACGTTGCTGCTGTCTTTCTGTATTTAATATTTATTCATGGTTGTCATTTACTTTGTCCTCTATTGACTGATCTAAAAGACCCTGATTGCTTTTACAATATACTGTCTCGAAAAAGTTATGGTAGTTTGGTGAAAAATGAGAAAGACAAAATCATGTCAACAAATATCAAAGAGAAGGCAAAGTTTCTGACCTACTTTGGCTTCAGAACTCTGTCTGAGTTTGTGTGTGTGTAAACAGTTTAGAGATGGAAGGCAGGACCTTGTATGAGCTAGGCAAGCACTCTGCCCTGACCTACTCCCAGGCCTTTCCTGAGCCTGTCTTGTAGTTTGTAGCTCTTAAAGGTGAGAGAGTTTCAGGTCACTCTGCAAAACCTGGAACCTACTGCCTTGGGACAGTGCTGTGCTTGGAATGGAATTTTGAGGACGTTACAGTCTCCTAAAGCCCATCCATGGTTGCCATTAGGTCTTTCAGAGATACAGTTTCCAGTTCCTCACAGACTAGAACCTTTGGTTGGCTTCTACCACATGATGGTATACTTGGTGTTGCTATGCCTCTTAGAAAGAACTGGACCAAGAGTTGGTGGTGGTGATGGTGGTGTGGGGTGATGGAGCCCAAAAGCCAGGAGCTTAGATTCACTAATGCTTATCACCAGGCTGAATGTCCAAACAAAAGTCAATGTGGTTTTCTATTTGCTTGTTTTCTTTTGTTTTTCTTTTAAGTCATTGGCCAAGAATCCAGCTCTAATGCATATTCATATGCACATCCACACTTAGTTACTGCACTACGGAAGTTGAGCTGTGAATTATTTGACCCCGGATTTGTACAGCAGTGATCCCACCAATGACTTGTGTGTGTCTAGTGAGATTTTAGCATGTCTACTTAACTTTTTACCTTTTCAGAATGACTTCATGGGCATTGTTTAACCTGTCATCACTGCACAGTAGCTCTGTAAAGCTGACTTTGTTAGTAGGGCAGTGCGAGAAAAGGTGAAAAACACGGGCTGATTAATTTGCCCACAACTGGAGTTGGTGATAGAGCCACTGTCGAAGACACATCTCCTGGATCCATTTGTTCTTGTTAGACCCCAAAGCAGGCATTTCATTCAAGCTACAGGTATTTCTCCGACTTACTGACAGTCTAGCCAGTGACACTGGGCTTTCTATCAGCATGGGTGTTAAGAATTAACATGTTTCAGGATTCCACCTAAGATATCTAGAAAATCATGGATTACCATCAGAAACTGACTAACTTGTTAATAATCTCTGTAATATTGAAGAGCAAGGAGTCAGCCAGCTGGTCACATGCTGCTGCCCCCTCTGCTTGTCAGTTACAGAGAGAACAGCTGAAGCATGATCTCCGGAATTCTTGTCTGTTCTGTGTGTTTTAACGTTTCAGCAGTTTCCAGTTAAAAGGTTCCTATGATCCAGTGACCCCTCCTGTTAAATAAGAATTTCATAGCTTCCTGCCAGCTTTAACTACTTGGCTATAGGTTATTATTCTATATGAAGTACATCGTTTCCAAGATTAATGAATAAGATGTGTGACTGGCAGAGTTAGCTTATTGTAGAAAGGTTTCCTATCTTAAAAAAAATATATATATGCATCAATTGGACATGAAGACTCTTAATGTTTATTATTTTTAGTTGAAACAAATGATATTATCAAACTTTGAGTCCCTTAAAAAAATTTTTAAAAATCTTAACACCAAATGTGTATCTACCAGACAGACTTGATTCATAATGAAAATACATATTCATTAATAAATTTCAAGTCCTAGTTCCTAAGGTGATTTGGTTCAAATGTTTCCATAGTAATTAAAATACTAGCTCTAGTCTAAGAGGCAGAATTCTCACCTTAGCATTTCCAGAGTTGGATGTCTTGCAGACAGTGCTGGGTGTGGACCCTGTTACGGTTTGGTTTGAAATGTGGCCCCCAGACTCCATGTTTAACACCTGGGCCCAGCTGGGAGTCTGTGGACCAGTTTGGACTTGGGCCTCCCTGGTAGGCACAGGGCAGTAGGGGCAGGCCTTGGAGGTCATAACCTGCCCAACTTGTGTGCCTCCTGCACCTCTGAGATGTGTCCCAGTCCACATCCCTGCTTCCATGCCTTCCCCTCCATGGAGGGCATGCCCTCACTGTAGGTATTCTCCACAACCACAAAGCAACAGCAACAGTGACTCACAGAATTCAGTTGTCTCTTTAAGTGATATGTAAACTAACATGTCTACCACCAGTGATACCAACT